AAACCTTCGTTTTTGGGCATTATCGGCGTAAATCGTTAGATCGTTGGGACGATAATTAGATAACACATAATTGTCCTTTAATCGCTACCATTTAAAACTATAAAGCTAAGGGCACTTTTATCGAATCTGGGGATATCGTGAGGTAAGCGGGCGATAACTTCTACTAGTTCTAGTCGTATAAAGAAGCCCATAAAGTGACGTGGAGAGGCGCACGGATAATGCACGCATTCCAATGGCCCCGGAGTCACCTGAGAACCATCGATCCTTGGCACGCGATGCCGCGTTGCCGCGCCTAATCCACGGAACAATTATGGGGAATGTCGAGTAATATCGAGCACGGGGAAAGTCGAGTTTCCCTCGTGGGTGAGCTGCGGCACGAGATGGGTACGTGTAATCGAAACGTGAAACGTGCTGAAGTTGTGAAACGAGGATCGACGGGATCGCGACGACGGGAAGGCGTTGACAACCGTGCACCGGGCCATGGTGGACCAGGTGAGAGAGATATGTTTCGACGTCCGTGTAACCCCGTTTCGCCCAAGACGCAGACAGACGCCTATGCTTCGAGATGCCGGCCTTTCGCCCCGGTAATTACTCCACCCACGGACCCGCACGAGGAATTTCAATTTTACGGCGGGACGAGATGGAGCGCACGCGCACCCTGGCCCCCTTGATTATTCGACCGGCGAATATTTCCTCGATCAGTGGCTATTATTGCGTTAATGCGAGGCTGCGAGGCTGGCGATTGCCTAAGGCTCGTTAATTTGCAATTATAGTGTAGTATGCCGCGGTGATATTTATTCGTCTGGGTTGTCAGATTAATTTGAAGAAAATACGGGGTGACGATGGTGGGTTCGGGTAGCGCGAGATGGGTCTAGTGCGTGAGAGAGGCTGGAAAGGGCGAGGACCAACGAAGTAGGACGTTTTGCCGAGATCCGAGTTGTCGGGCGACTAAGCCGACGAGTGTTTTGACGGTGGGCGGGAGGTGAGGAGGGGAGAGGCACGCGTGGCGAGGATATATCTAACGGACAAAGTCGAAGCTTGAATCCTCGTTAATCACGAGGCGCGAAAGTACAAGTCGCTCGCGCTGTCGTCAACAGTATTATTATTATTATTGTTGTTGTTGTTGTTGTTGTTGTTGTTGTTATTCTACGTATAAATATTAATCGAGCGTACTGTTAAGAGTATTTATCCGCGAGTGGTAATTAAAGCCACAAACTAGTCGAGTACAGCGACTCGCGTTAATTGAAAATCCACTATCGAAAAGCCGGGGGATGGATTCGTATAATTGAAAATAAATAATTGCCCACATACTTGACGCTCTATCTTACGAATTAAGTTCCCATGCTCTTGTTACTCGGAAGTCTTATTCTTTCTTTTTTTCTTTTTTTTTTGCGTTTTTTTGTTTTTATTTTTATAAAGTGTGCTATAAAGTGTGCTAAATTGCTATAAAGTGTGCATTACCACAACAAATACGCGATAAATTGTTTACTCCAGCCATCACAGTTGATTGTCCTATAAGAATTATAAAAAATGAAGAAATATCAAACATTATCGTAAATACGTATTTACTCGATAAAGGATGGTGAGAAAGTGACCCGGGGCCGGTAATAAAATAAATAAACAATGGAACCTGCGGGAAACGGTTGCGCTAAAAGTCAAGGGTCTTTGTACATTCGCATAAAGCGAAGCGCCAAAAGGTCCGTTTACGGCATGTTTAATAACGTCACTCGCGCAAACGCGACACCATAACTGGTTCACCTTCGTCGCGGCACCCCTTTCACCCCTTTCACGAAAGTAGAACGAGCGATCGACGGAGAGGGCAAATGTAAGTCACCGAGAAAGTGAGCGATCGCGCGGTTCGCGTATACAAGTTCGATCACGTCCGATCTCGTTCATTTTCTGCAAACGAATTGATTGGCGATCGGAAGCTGCGTAACGCCTTACGTAATCACATCACCGTCGGTAGAGCTTATTCTGGAGATGCGCAGCATCCGCTTTGCGATCGGCATGTGACACCAGCAGACACCTGACCACCGTGACGTCGGCGAGGCTGCGCACGTAGACCGTTGCCGAGTCGATATATCGTCGTCACGAGGTGCGCCTAAAATTTAGATTCCTAGAAAGGAGCGATGGAGGACTCGAGATTAGTTTCCACGGGTATATCGACGGCTAGTTATTCGTCTTAGATATTCTCGAACGATTATGAGTGGGGGAGGAGGAGAGAAATGCTTAAACGAGCTTGACTTTTATTAATATTGACTGTAAATTGATTTCACTAATATATCCTTACAAGGGTGCATTTGTAATTACAGAAAGCCTTGACTTTTATTAATATTGACTGTAAATTGATTTCACTAATATTTTACACAGATTTTAATGTAGTTGCAGATACTTGCAATTGGGAAAATAAAGTCACACTTAAATTATGAGGATTCAAGACGCTTTCGAGACAATTTTGAGGTTACTAGGTGCTTGAAAAGGATCCTACCGCCGCATACTGTATTATAACGATTTAATAACGAATCTTGTACGAGCTTTCGCGTATTAAGAATGCAAATGAAAGAAAAGAAAATAAAAATACAAAAATAAATAAAGGCAAAATTATCATTTTGCAATAAAAATGAAATAAGCTTAATGAGCGTCATTTATAAGCATAACGACCGTTCCGTGAAACGAGAACGTTATCAAACTTAAAAAAAAAAAACTTGCATTAAAAAGAGAAAGACACATTTGTGTAATACGTGACAGTTAGGAAAGAACCAAAGTTGTTCCGACTTACATTGCTCGCTCTCTCAACGAGATTTTGCACGGAGTGTGGAGAAACTTTGCGCTGCTCGTGAATTTGAAAAGAAAAAGACTCGTCGCCGGTGAACGTGGCGGGGTGGGGTTAGCGAGTCAAGACACCGAGAAGAGCGACACAAGGATAGGCAGGAGTAATTGCGGTGAATTTTTAATAGGGCGACCGGTAGTGAGTCCTCGCCGCCTCGGCCCGGCTTCCCGCACCCGGGTAGTAGAAATAATGCCCGCAGTCGACGTGCGACGTTGAAAATAAAGAATAAGTCGACCCATAGGCGCGCGACGCCTTATCGCGCTACTCGCATTTCTTGTGTTTTCTCTCCCTCCCCGCCGCCCCAGCGACCCAATGCGCCAATCGACTTTAGCAGTCGTAAGAGCGAATTATCCGAGGGCCGTTTTCAGTGGCCGTGTAGGTAGGAACGGAAGCGGCGCAGGAACTGCCGCCACCTTTTATTTTGTCTTGATAAAAGTTTCGAACTCCTCGCATACGCCGATAATCCAAAGTTATTCGCGCTACTCGTGACGACGATACGCCTAAATTAAGCAAATTAGGCAAATTAAGTTCGTACTTTGCCGCGGCTCCCACCAACTTGCCTCTCATTTCAGACATCAATACATTCTCGTGTGCATGTAAGGTACGCGAAGGTGAGGCTCGTTAATGAGAAAAATAGAATTTTTGACGATGGCTCGCTGCTATTCTCGCATGTAATGTAGTCGACACATCACGACGCCATTACATTATCGACTCGTCTCAATCAATTGCACAGTCGTTTATCAATCGGACATCTTTGCAGTGATGCCATTCGTGCATTTGGAGCTCGTCTGGACGAGCAGTCGAACGGATATATTCGCTCATCAACGTAAACAAAACTCAGCCTCCGTAGCTACTAATCGGCGAGAATTTCGTTTTAATACGGCGGCAACTCCGCTGATCGATCACTTATCGATCCATGCAATACGGCCGTCACGTTGCGCAATAGATCGATTTAGTCTTCGCAGCGTGGCATTAACTCGCAAGTAAACCGGGAGTGCCCACGTACGCGGTAACGCGCACGCATGCACGCACGCACGCACGCACGCACGCGTACAGGGGCTCGTGGCACTTATCAGCGCACGTCACAGCGATTGCGGGCGTATAAATCCAACGATGTCGTGTCGTGTCGTGTCGTGCGTTGCATCGAATTCGCGACTTATGAATCACTCCTGTGGCTCGTTTGTGCCGCGTCTCGCTTAGCCATTTGCAACGAATTTAACCGAGTTTAAGATAGAGAGAGAGAGAGAGAGAGTGCGAGTGAGTGAGTGAGTGAGTGAATGAGTGAGTGAGTGGAGGGCAGAGGATTATTACGGTATTACCAAGAGCTCGATGCCGGGCTATTTTCCCTCTCTTTTCCCTGCTATTGGTTTTGCTGTTTAAGCACTGGTGGAATCGGCAGCCTCGAATTCCCGTTCGAACGAAATTATCGATTGTGCGAACTTTCGTTTGAAAAACGAATGCTGCGCGGCTCGAGAGCCGTTGCTTTCCAGCTATCGGCGATTAAATTATTTCGCCTACTCGAGCTTTACGCGAGCCAAGGCATTTATAATGCAACTTAAGAAATAAACTGGCAATGAGCTAGCTCATTATCCGATTAAAGTAAGTGCAATATTGCCAGACCTCCCGGTTTATTTATGCTAATTAAATGGAATTAAGGGGCGTGAACTTCACGCGACTCGTTCGAAATGTTTGAACAAATTGCACTATCCATGATAAGTGGTAGGTAGCAGCCTTTAAGCGACCGTGTGTCGACGTTTTACACTCATTTATGACATTCGAAAAGTTAATACGAAATCTATTGCGAGTATGTTCGTCTTGAATAGGCTTGTAAAGATCTCACTCTCTCTCTATTTTACTTTTAATTATAAATGTAATTTTTGAAAATTGTCTTGTTCCGTATGGAAAATACAAATGTCGCGAACAATTCAGTTTAAGGATGGACATTTAGAGAAATGTAGCTCGTCGAGGACGCGGTTGCCCTCATTGCTAAAGCTTCCTCCAACAAGCAGGAGGATTCGATGCCTCAAACATCAAAGAAAAATTGTATTTTAATTTTAATACATGAGGAAGGTCCTCGTCCCCAAGGATAATGCCTCCTTTGACACATAGGGCGCTGTCCTTTGAGGCCTCGAGCCGCGATACTCACATGTCGTCATATCGTCATTTTCAGGAGCACTTGAACCTCGTCGGCCGAGACATCGATAATGGACCGGTGTTGGTGTCGATAAAGGCGGAAACTGTAGCTGGCCAGGAACATTGGAGGGTGCTGCTGCGGCTGAGGGCCGGATCAGTTCACGAGCTCGTGCCCGCGGCAAATCTGGGGCCGAACCCCTCGCCAGCGAAAATGGTCAAGGTAAGAGACCCGCACCCTTTATCAATTCAAAGGCTCCTTGTCATTTTTTTCTTCTCTTCTTTTTTTTTTCCCATTTATCCCCCCCCCCTATCTCTCTCTCTGTAAAAAATCAAAGAATACCACCGGCAGATCCATCGTTGAATCATGGGCGTTTGCGCAAATTTACGCATAAACCTCAGGCTACGAACAATTACGGGGGTAGGAAATCATACCCCTTGAGGTAGATTTGGCCGCCGACGATTCTGGTAAGGAAGGGACGAGGTGGATACGAAGAGGCGCAACGATGCGACGACGGACTCGAACATTTCGAATAATTCAAGCGCCTGGGAACGGCAATTAAGACCAACCACCTCTACCAAGAGAATATCAATCGGGAGTCGAGTCTATTATCTCGGGAGTTTGAGAAAGTAAAGAATTTTGCGCCGCGAGTGCCGGCATCAGTGCCAGGCGCGAAACTTTCGAAATTTCGCGGGAGTCGTGAGAGCGGAGTGCCGTTATACATTTATAGCGCGTCCCGTGCGCCGTGCTGTAATTAATTTGATATAACCTTATCGCCAAAGCCTCGTGACATTTAATCGTTTCGGCATTTCTGTGATTTATTCGCATAAGTACATTTAATTGCGCGCCCGCTACGCCTCGCCGCTCAACGAATAATCATAACAACGATACTCTGGCCCCTTAAAATTTCTTACGTCAACGCGCTCAAGGTCAGTTTATTTAGGACTTGGATATGAGAGTCGCCGCGTTTTCTTTATTTCACCGTGAAATGTTTTTCGCGGAAGTGAATAATTTTTTAACAAGAAATATATATATATATATATATATGGATCGCTCAGGAAGATCTTCGCACCAAGTAAATATTTTGCCTTTGAAGTGCCAATAGAATAAAGAGCGCATCGATGGCGTCCGAATAAAGCCAAGAAGTATCCTCGAGTGAGCCAAAGTAGACGTCTCGTCGTGCCTAATAACTTTGCCACTTTTCTCGAGTAAGGAGAGAAAGCAAAAAAAAGTCACCGCGTGCGCGGCTCCCCGTACTTTCGACTTCTTCGTCTCAGTGTGCACTTTCTGCGTAAATAAAGTACGAGCTGCTCCTTCCCTTAAAAGTAAATGCTGCAGACGGCAAATTGAAGTAACTTTTAAGTGCCTCATCTGCTAGCCGAAGCGCCTTGCGCCCTCTGCTGTCCAACTACAGGACCAACTGCAGGTACAACGACTGGACCAACCACAGGTCCAACCACAGTCCCAACGAGCATTTAAGAAGGAAACTTGGCATGAACTCGTGCCATTGAGTTGACTTGTTCGTAAACCTTATCAGTGCCTGGAATTGAATGGGAGAGCAGGATCGTTGAGACGTCGTAACAAGCTTTATCGATCGGTTGCAACGGACTCTCCCGAGAGCCGCGAAGCTACGGCGCATCTACGGCTTCCCGATGAACCCCGACACGGGATAGGGGATCGCCCGATTCGTCGGACAAAACAGTCTCTCGCTCCATAGCGGCCGGTGGGATAAACATCGTGTGTCGGCGCCTCGGGGTTGAGTCGCGGCGGCGTCGCGGCGCCTCTGGAAATCGAATTTCCACGACGCCGGGCGTTGTGAAGCGAATGGAGGGAGGGATAAACGCATAAGAATCACAACATCGCGACTAAATAGTATCGCCCTTTGAACGCCGGGTTTGATCGTACCTGGCCCTTCATTAAGATCAGAGAGAGAGAGAGAGAGAGAGAGAGAGAGAGAGAGAGAGAGAGTGTGTGTGAGAGAGAGAGAGAGAGAGATTTCTGCGGTTGCCGATCGGGACAACTCGATTCACGTGGCCGCCAATCCTCTCGTTTCTCTTTTAACCATTAATTGCTTGTTTTGAATGTTGGTATGGTCGTTTCGATGAGAGAGCGATCGTCGTGAAAAGTGTTGAAGCTCGAGGATGCTGGAGAAGATGGAGGAAAAGATGACTCGTACAAGGCCACGGTCAAAGCGACCCGTAAACTTTTTATTATTGCATTCGATATGGACGAGCCGTTCGCGCGTCGAGTCGTACGACTACGAGTGGCGGAAGTTTTAATCGATCGCCGCGTAAGAGACGGCCGATTCACGGTGCAATTAGCGATTCGCGTGTTTGGGTGTATTTACGATACCCGAGCACAGATGTTTGGTTGAATTATTGAACAATGGCGTTGAGGAGTAAATTTTGATATATGTTATTTTAAATATGACGATAGCCTCGACTGACTAATTTGCCATAGGACGATAATTACTAAAGGCTATTTGGCGAAAAAATGTTTGCGCTCTCCTTTCAATAATTGCCTTTATTCTTCGTTGGCATTGGATTGTAAATTTTTCACTGAAAAGTGCACAAAAATTGGCCTGTTGAACGATTCGAACGTGGGGCCTGCCATTATTTAAGGGGAATTTAAGATAAGTTAACTTCGTTAACCGACCACGATCGAGTATTCGTCATTCGAACATTCGAACATTCGAATAAGCTTAGATTCGTCGGTATTGCCAATTGCATTTTATTTGGCATTTGATCGATGAACATAAACCCATTTTATGACTTTGAATTTGAAAGCTAAGCTTGCGCGCGGACTAAAGACAATGACGATAAGTCCAAGACGATTAAATTCTCCGTATTAAATCAAGCGAGCTTAAATTATTGTACAAATTATTTTTCGTATCTCGTTCCCCCCCCCCCCCACCCACTCATTCCGCCACCCCCTCCAAATACTACTCAGCCTTATTTGCTAGTGCACAAGCAATCATTTTACTTTCGTTCGTTGAAGGATGGATCTACTTTCAAGTGGACACTTGGTTACTTTATCCAATTAACTTTAACTGTCGCGTTTCATTTGATGCGAAAATTTTATTGCATTCGTCGTTGGGGCGAGCGACATTGACGCTTTCACTGCGGTTTATTAAATTAATCGCAAATGTACAATTTGCGCTATTGTTGATATTTTCATTCGAATGAACGAGGCATTTGTTCCCCCTATCACTGTGCCCGCAGATTAGCGGCCTTTTAAGTAGTAGAAAACGATATTAATATTTCCCTTTATCTTACCGCTGCAATTTCTATTTTATATTGCACTTGATGGAAAATTCGCCGCTAAACAAATAAATGACGATGAGGCTGAAATAAGAAATGAAAATTTGCCTAAACGTCCGATCGATCGACATTGCATTTATGAAAACGCGATCGTTAATTTTAAAAGCCGACTTTTCATTGGTCCGAGGACACAAATGAGCGAGAATAAACAAATAACAATAAATCGCGATTGAGACAAAAGGTTGCTCGCGCCCGGCTGAAAATTATGTCTCATATTTATAATGATAAAACGCAGACGCTGATCAAGATATAAATATTTAATGAGTATCGTGCCCAAGATAAATAGAGAGAGCTAAGCAAAATTTAATACGAGTTTATTGTCATGTTGCCGTGCACCTGATGCAAAAGGCGAGCTTTTCTGTAACTGTCAGCTGGAGATAAAACCCGAGACTCGGAGCGTTAAGTAATCTAACCAAAGCGTGCAGACGAATGCCGTCTTTTACATATCTTTTACTTTGTTCCTCCGGTACCCTCGATTCCCAGCAGATACAGAGGAATTACAATCTGAATTCCATTTCACGAATCTCTTATTGAGTTTTCCGAAAGGTACAAATTGTTTTTTACATCTCACGATGTAAGAGCGCCCGGTTACGTCTTATCTATTATATATATATATATATATATATATATATATATATACAAGATTCGACGAGATACGACTGCTTAATATCGAAATTTACATGCGATTGGAATGACCGCTTTGACGGCCGATTCGTTGCTTAATCTTCTATTATTACCATTTTTACAAATAATGACGGCATTAATAATTATAGAATACAGCGAGAAAATAGAAATCCAACCGCTAAAAGTAATGGAATTAATCGTATAATAGCTGCTCCCCGCAAGTTTTTTTTTTTTTTCCCCATTTGTATTTCAATAACTGAATTCCGTATGGATAGAAAAAAAAAGGATAAACAAAATAGAAAGAAAGAAAATAGATAAATAGAAAACATGCCGTTATTATTATAAAATACTCGTTAAATGTATCTCGCGCCTAACTCAGCAGTTACGCCAAAAGAATTCATTAACAACCGGCAAATTTAAAAAAAATTTTGCCTCGCCCATCCATCTTCCTCGGCCATCACAATTTTCCATCTCCATGGTGCACTGAAAAGCAAACAACAAAGTGAAATGTTTTTTAAGCGATGCGCGCTCATGGCCAGCCGTAATTTCGAGAAGAAAGAAGAAACTTTTACTTAACTTTACTTAACTTTTACATAGCTCGGCTACTCAATTTTCGAAGGTCATTCCGTCATTGTCAAATCGAATATTGCACGCGCATGACTCCGACTCGGTAAATCGCCATTGTCGCAAGCACGTCGGCACATTATCTCGATAATAAATTCGCAGATTGAAAGGAAGAGGGGCGCATTAAAGTCGCCTCGAAAGTGAAAAATAGTTATAAAGGAAAAATACGATCCCAATGGTCCAAGCGAGTATTGAGGAATTCATAAGGAACGAATCGAATGGAAATATCACTTGAATTGTTTTATTTATAATAGTTCGCCGGCACGTACGTATGGAAGGTAAGAAAAGAGTCTTTGGACAAACAGCTTCGCGACGGTCAATTCGATAAGCCAATAACTCAAACAACGAATGTCCCAGGAGGGGGCATTTCCATTCACTCCCAGTCTATAAAGATTAATAATGCCTCCACCCCCAGCCCAACCCCAGCATAGAGAATTCTTTCTTCCACCTGAAGAGCCGCTGCTACGCCACGTGGTCGCAGGCAGGCGAGTCGATCATCTCGATCTCAGGGACAATAGTCGGCCCCTCCCAATGCAACCACTATTATCGCTAATCTCTGCCCCCCCCCCTTCCCACACACACACCCTGCAACCACCAATAACCAACACACGGCTCTTGATTTTGCTGTAGGCGGTGAACGAGTCGTTGAGCGTGAGCAACCTCATGCCAGTGGTCTGCTCGGGGGCTGGTAGTCTCATCGCCCGGTACGACGAGCACGCCCTTGTCTCGCGATTCAAGTTCGGCGTGCTACATCAGCGGGCGCGCCAGGTCACCGAGGAGCAGCTCTTTGGCAACTGCCTCATCACGCCGGCCTTTCAGGAATTCCTCGACCTGCTCGGCCAACGGATCGACCTCAAGGACCACAAGGGGTGAGTAGACACTGTGTCTCGATTACGACGACGACGAAAGCTGGCTGAGGGTTTGGAGGGGGGGGGGGGGGGGGGGGGGGGGGGGGGGGGGGGAGGAGACACAGGAGGTAAATCAGCCGAATGGTGATTCGATTCGAGCGAGTTTTAGAGCCAGTCGCGCCGAGCCGCAGATTTGTTCTTATCACACAGACAGCGGCTCGCTGTCGCTTCCTTTTCCCGGAACGTTGCGACTCGACTGAGAGACGTTCACTTTACCGATATAATAATGGTTGCACACGATCGAATAGTCGAGCATGGATTAGCGGATCGGGGCGACGAGAGCTTACGATAAAATGGGATGGGGGGGGGAGGTGTAGGGGGGGGGGGGGGGGGAGGATGGAAGGGTAAGATGAGAAGGGGACAGCTGCAATAGAAACTAATGAAATAATTAATAGGTACGGAGGCGGACTGGACACGCGACACGGACAGACGGGCGACTCAGCGGTGTACGAGGTGTTCCGGGGCAGGGAGGTCCTCTTTCACGTGGCCTCCCTCCTACCCTACAGCCCCGGGGATTCGCAGCAGCTGCAGCGCAAGCGCCACATCGGTAACGATATCGTCGCCATCATCTTCCAAGAGGAGCCGACACCCTTCAGCCCCGACATGATCGCCAGCCACTTTTTGCACGCCTTCATCGTCGTACAGGTCATCGATCCCTGCACACCCAACACCAGGTACCGCTTACCTTAACAGCGTTACTCTTACCGTTGCCTTTGGCCTTTTCACGTACTCGTCGTCCACTTTGCCAGTGGACGTCCGTTCGTTTAACGATACGACGACTCGCCACATATTTCATACCACTTATCATTTACTTCTTTTATTTTTTATTTTCTTACCATACGTCACTAGAAATCTGTATCAGCGTGCCGCCTATTGCTAATAATCAATTATTAAAATAATATTCGATAATAAATAAGCCCCGGGGCCAAGAAATGTAATGAAAGACAGAGCAGTATTATCGGGCTCGGGCACCTCGTGCGAATCCTTCGCCATCCCAAGCTCGCGTGCAGTTGCTCACGAGAGGATTATAATTAACAAAGTCTCTTTTTCTTGGAACGTCGATTGGCGCAGGTACAAGGTGAGCATCACGGCGAGGGACGACGTGCCGTGGTTTGGTCCGACCTTACCGACGCCTGCCGTTTTTCTCCGCGGAGTCGAATTCAAGGAGTTCCTGCTTACGAAACTCGTCAACGCGGAGAACGCCGCCTACAAGGCCGAAAAATTCTCGAAACTGGAGGTACGCCCCGATCGTCCGCTTATGCGAACGGTGACCGATCCGAGGGTCGAGAGTCCGTCGACACGTAAGTAGTGGCCACCGTGATGCCAAAGTAAAAAAGCGGTGTATTCTTACCGTAGCTGCGGACGCGGTCATCCCTCCTGGAGTCCCTCACCGTCGAGCTACAAAGGAAGACGAGCGAATTTCTGGGCGGCGGAGCGGCAAGTCTCGGTGTCTTCCTCGGTAACTGCTCGGTAAGCCCGACCTCGAACGACGTCTCGGGCTCGGGATCCGGCGGCAGCGGCTCGCGCTTCATCGACACCGTGCGCAAGGCACTCATATCCCGGGTGCGCAACGCCTCGACCGAAAGCGTGCCTCAGCAGCTCTCGAAGAAGGCCCAGTCGCTCGAGCCGAGCCCACCCAGCAGCAGACAGTCGACCAGCAAACTCACCGGGGCCAAGAGGCCCGTCGAGCCCTCCAGTCCACTAGGATCGCCCGACCTGACGCTCAGGAGGTGAGTTCCCCAGCAGCGCGAGATTATTTGGGTTTTTATCCCCGATAGTTGGTTGTTGTGTGCTGGAAGCACAAGAATTTTACGCTCCATCTCTCGTCAACTTTAATCTCATCTATTACCAAGAGGGACACATGAAATCGTAGGACTATGGATTATTATTGTTGCGTAATTATTGCGAAAAATATTCCAACGATTAAGAACGTATTATGAATGCCCAAAGATGTTTAATAATACGCGTGGAGGAAGATCATCTCGATCATCGCATTCGCCGAAATAGAAAATGAACAACGAAATGAAAGCAGTGGGTGAATGAAATGTTGAATCAGTCGAAACCACGAGGTTACGCCGCAAAGCGAATTGTTGTTCAATGTTGGAAAATTGATGAGAGTGAGAGAGTCGATTGAGAGTCGATCATATTAAAACAATGCCGTGGCATATTGTGGACGAGACATCGGACCTGGGCCGATCCACCGTTGAAATCCACGTAATTTCTGTTTGACCCGCGACGTTCTCGCTAATGCCATAAACAACCAATGACAATTGCGCAAATCTTGAATGTACGGTAGAGAATTTTAAAGCGACTACATAATATAATATGAAGTCCCGTTAGTTAAGATCTTGAGGATCGGATTGGTAAGTGCGTGCGCGGCTAAACCAAATATTAACTTTCGCGCGATATAATAGAATCGCGAAACTCATAAATATGCATTAAAACTTTTTATTCAGAGGCAGATTGCGCCGTAGATGGAGATTTTGAATTTGAACACGCGCGAATCCCATTAAAGTTAGCTGTTAAATGCTGCAATAGACATAAATGAATGGTGTGTCAATTTAAGTAACGGGACAGTATGCAAAATGAAAGAATTGCCAAAGAAAAATAAAGCGAAACTCGTTTAATTCGTATAATCGAGAATTAAGCGGTACTAGCGGATGATCTCATCTATCATTGGCGTTGATCAAAATTACAGCACTCTACGTGCGTATATCAATTAATTTAAATCCACTATCCGGTTATACGCGAGCACAGAAAGAGATTATAAATATTCTTTAAGTTTATGTTGTCGGGCATTTTATACGCGTACATGAATATCGGCTACGTCACCGATAACATACCTCCTATAGCGTCAAAATTCATTATCGATCAATTGAATATAACAGTTTCAGAGAAATTAGTTAGCAGCGAATTATTATTTCAAGAAAATCAACGAACTGTCTGCGGCTACGAACTATCTTTTACGCATTTATTTTCTATCCATCACTGACAGACAGACGGACATACGGACAGACAGACAGACAGACGGACAGACAGACGGACGGACGGACGGGCGGACGGACGGACAGACAGACAGACAGACAGACGGACGGGCGGACGGACGGACGGACGGAAGGGCAGACGGACGGACGGACGGACGGACGGACAGACAGACAGACAGACAGACGGACAGACGGACGGACGGACGGACAGACGGACAGACGGACGGACGGACGGACCGACTGACGGACGGACGGACGGACAGACGGACAGACGGACGGACAGACGGACGGACGGACGGACCGACTGACGGACGGACGGACGGACAGACGGACAGACGGACGGACGGACGGGCGGACGGACGGACAAAGGGACGGACAAACGGACCG